TTGTTTCTGTAACTTCAAGTTTTTCTCTAAAAGTGGGTGGATGATTAGTGACAAAGGGGAATTGAGCCCTCCCAATGCTAACATAGTTTATATTTAACTTAAACGCAGTCTAAGTGGAGCTGTTTGAAGTCAGTTGATGGACCCTGCGCTGTTTATTTGATCTTTTTTTTTATCTTTAACTGTCATTGGGTTGACGCCCAGTGTGTACAGAAAATCTCACTATCTTGTTCTTGTAATGGCCAGAAATGTCATAAAATAATGATTAATGTCTGCTCATTTAGAAATAGAGGCATGTACAGCTCTGGCATTCAAAACTAAAGGAAGCGTTATATAAGGTTTATTCAAAAGGATCCTTGTGGAGTTGCAGATCATGGCGCTCTGTTGGGAAAAGTGCAGTGGAACAACAAACAGCATACAAAGACAAAGATGGATGCATCAAAGAGAGAGAGAGAGAGAGAGAGAGAGGGCTGGAGACTGAGAGGTGCCGTGAACATGAATTAATGTTGGCAGAATCATGTGCATACCAGAACAGCTCTTGACATCTGAAGAGGCCCCTCCTTATGTGTACAAACGGGCAATGTTTGGGTGAAAAGAAAGATATTGTTGAATGAACTGAGTAACTGAACAGCATTATGTAGTGGTATTGACTTTTCTTTACACCATCATTTCTTTAAGCCAGTCAGTGACTTTGAGTACTTAGGTTATTAAATTATAACTAATATTGTTAAATACAGAGTCTTGAATCCACAGAGCTGACCTGTGACTTGCTCTGGTCTTGTCACTTGCTTGCCTGGTAACTGAATATTATATTGTTCATCAACATTCCCTCTGGATGTGATGCTAACTGTGGACTAACTGCTCTGTCTGAAACTCTGTGACTCAACTTAGACTTTAATCTGAGCATTGTTGTAACACAATCAGACCATAAATTTCTAATCTAACTGAAATTACAACAGTACAACAGGTGAGATGATTTGTGTTTCTCACACTTAAAATTACAGTCACGAGCTAGATTGCATTAACCAGCCGCAAACAGCACCATGAACACTTGATTGATCACAGGCTCCTGAAAATGTGTTGTTTAAATCCAAATTTGTATTCTTCTTGAGACAACCATTAAACATTTTTGAGTGTTTGCTAATGTGTGTCTCCATGATAACAGACTGATCATTCCACCACAGGCATATGCGTAGAACACCCCCTAGCGCTACTGTGAAGTATCAATACATGCATCCCGAATTTCTGTCTTCCCATCATCACGTAGTGTATATTTGGGTCCTCTGAAAAAGTGAGCATCAAACCACCATGTTTGATTTCCCAGTGGGATGCATTTATTGTCAAAGCCAATCTTTTCAAGTCTTTTGAACCATATCGCTTTTGTTTCTTGTTCTGATATTGTCATATTTCAGTTTTGGGATTCGCACATTGTAATTGTGTGGTTGTTGGATGTCCTAATAGCAGAAAATGAGCTTCGGAAGTGTGCGACCTCCATAACTGCAAAAGGGAATCAGATCTGTGTGACTGCAAACCTCCGTTCAAACTGTTTCAATTTCCAATGGAATTGAAAAATAGGGAGAGGCAAAGGCGATGAGCAGTAATGATATACAGGAAGGACGAAAAAGGAAACCTTTGGCTGCCTAAGAAATCATCCGGAATTTTCAGCGAACATTTTGTATGTGGAGCGCCATCAAAGCAAAATCCCGTTTCTTAAGTGAGAGGTACAGAAGGCGAGCAGGCTGAGCTAGCACTTTCTTGGACTGACTTTACAACAACATCACATCTTGGTCGCTTTGCAATGGAAGGTGTTTCTTGGCGAACAGCTGGTGCTTTTCACTTTGGCATTGACTTTTTAAATTCGTAACCAAGGTTGAGCAAGGGATCGGGATTTTATTTTGATGGTGCTCCACATATAAAGTGTTTGCTGCAAAGTTGGGATGATTTCTTAGGCAGTGAAAGCTTACCTTTTTTGTCCTTCTTGTGTATCAGTTCTGGCCATCGCCTTCGCCTTTCACTATTTTTCAATTCCATTGGAAAGGGAAACAGTTTGAACGGGGGTTTGCAGTCACACAGATCTGATTCCATTTTGCATTTATGGAGTTCGCAAAATTCCGAAGCCCCTTTCTCGAGCAGTTTTCCGCTGTTAACCACACAACCACACAATTACAATGTCCAAATCCCATTTACAATGTCCGAATACCATAACTAAAATAGCAACATCAGAACCAGAAACAAAAGCGATATGATTCAAAAGACTTGAAAAGATCAGCCTTGACAATAGATGCATTCCACTAGGAAATCAATCATGGTGGTTTGATACTCACTTTTATGGAGAACCCTTCCCAGTATGTATTGTGCAAAGACCGGAAGTTTGAAATTCGAGATGCACATATTGTGGAATATTCCATCCATATAAATGACATGTGGACAAGCAGCTGGTGGACCCAACATCAAGAAACCACAGCACTGTATTGTCACATATTTTTGATTGTGTAATTTTGACACCTCACAGCCGATCAAACATGGAGCTTTTCTTCTCTTCTGTTCTCTCCTTACAGCCCTGATTGTGTAATAGAGTGGAGAGGCGATGTCTGGGCAAATAACTTCACCAGTGTGCTTGTGCCAGAGCAGCTCTCACATCTGAAGAGGCTGCTCCTTGTGTGGCTCTGTCAGAGGAGTGAGGGCCAAACAGTCTCTGCCAATGATCCTTCACACATTGGTCACAGTCAGGCACCAACAGAAGGGCCTTTTAAAACACAAGATTGTATTATTGGAGAACAATACACCACACTTTTTTTGACACTTCTAAAATGAAACTAGCTATTTGATAGTCTTGTAGCTGCTGTCCAAAAAGGGAAAAAAAACTGAGGGAGTGACTTGTACTGAATGGAGAATTTGTTGATAGAGCTCTGTGCAGCTGAAGTCCATGGAGCATAAGTGAAAACATGTGTTGCCAATTTGATGTATTTTGCAGCATTTTCATCTATTTTTGAGCTTTTAACCATGTTATATACTGTATATAGAGTCACATTACTGTTCTTCAGACTCTTCAGATCTAAAAAAATCTCAGTAGGTTGGGTTGCATTCATGATGTTACAACATTCAAGAATGGTTTCAAATGGATCAGGTCAGAATTCCATGGTGGAATTTGCTGTTTAACTGCCAGATTGCAGATTTGTTGACCTGGATATCTCTGTATTAATGAAACAGAAACTGACACAATGTTTGCCATCTTTTCTGACATCAATGTTTTGGACTGCAGACATAAGCATATGCCTGACAAGAATCATTTCGTGTCGATTCCTGGGAAAAACTATTTTGATTTGGGTCACGGAAATTCCCTCTGATGCCTTTTTGCAGATTTATGTGGGTGGACAAACAAACTAATGATGGTGCAGACTGCATTAGAAATCCCCCTCCTCTTTGGTGTGTTTTTGTTTTTGCCGGAGGGTAATTGAATCAGTTGTCACTCGCTAACGGGCTGAGATGTGCAGTTAATGTGCTAATCGCTACAGGGCTGCAGCTGTTTGGATTAAATGGATCTCAAGTGACCTCCACAGTCAAAGCTCCTCATTCTGCCTTTTGCTCCGCTCTCCAAGTGTCCATATTTGGGAGACAGAGTGGACATCAAAGACAAGTCCTGCTTTGTACACAGCTTAAAAATGTCCAGATGTCTAGTGCCATATCGAGATCAGTGGCTCTATATAACATTTAGTTGAGTCTATTGAGGTGATCTGCATATACAGGTACATACTTTTACTTTCAGTAGTTCTCCATGTCAGAAGATGTGTTCATGGGATCTGGGAGATTCGAATCAAGACCAAGATCATGTATTTTGAAAATCCTGTTCATATTGGATTTCAATTTACTTTTACAGTTTTATTTATACACTCTGATTATCCTAATCATTCACAGCAATGACTTTATGAGGCATTTTCACATCTTTCAGAGAACTGAGTGGAGTTTTACTGTCATAGTACAGCTAACAACTGATTATTGGACAATAAAACATTTAGAATTATATGCAGACAACATGAAGCAGATTTATTTTGACCTCAAGAGCTGCTTATGCAATAAATCTGTACTGTGGTAAGACAAATTTGGCTCATACATTGGGAAAATTTGGTTATAGAGCCTTTAATGAACATATGTATATGTAAATATGCCAGATTGTAGCCACAGGCTCATTTCCATAGGCAGTTATCCCGTTTTCCAAGCATGTATGTAAATGTAGTCAGGCTTTCTCTGGAAACTCCAATTACACCCAAGAACATAAAATCCTCCAGCTAGGTAGTCGTGACCAAACCCAGCCCAAGATCTGGAGATGGGTGGGCATTTAATACTGGATCAAATGCAGATGATAAATTGCCATTCAGGGACAATAAATTACATCATTACACCTTTTACACTTAAATAAATTACATAAATTACATTATGTATATTAATCATGCATGTTCTGAGTGCTTCCAAAATCTTACACAGCCATCTTGTTTTGTGCTCTGTTTTTACTCTAAGAGGATGTGGTGCTATCTATATCTGTGCCTGTTAGCGGAACACTTTCTCTGCTCCATCTACTGCTGTTTCATCTGCACAATAAAATCAGGGCTATTTTTAAAGTAACCTCCAACTCTTCTGTCAACATCTAAAGTGTTCAAATGCCTTTTAACTTTTTCTGTTTCATCATGTTGAAGCATTACCTCATAGTTCAACACAGTGATTGCAGCGTGTGTTGTGGGTTCCTTTTGGCTGCTTTATTCGAGCTTTGCATTTTATGGAAGTTATAAATGTCTCTTTAAAGGAAGATCTGTGCATAATGTAACCACAACACAGAAGTATATGTGTGTATATATATATATATATATATATATATATATATACATATATATATATATATATATACACACACATATATATATATATATATATATATATATATATATATATATATATATATTTATATATAATATATATTCATTAATAAGAAGCATTCAGTACACAATGTGTATCTTTACAAGTTTCTCTTTTATTATCGGTGTACTCTGACAATAACAATGATGGTATAAAAGAAAAATCTCCATCATACAAATTTCAATAATCAAAAGATAATATGCCAATACACAAACAGATACACATAAGGCTGACATCAAACTTTGACAAGTGGCTTCAAATGGCTTCAGGTCAAGGAGGACTAAGCCTCCTTACAATCAGGTATAACGGTATATGTAGCAGTATTTTTTCATATTTTTATTACAGTTTGCTTTCCTACAAAATATGTGTTTTGGGAGTGGGTTGTGGCTCTAGTTTTGGTTTCATTTTCAGTACTGTACTCCTCATTGCAATCCTAAAATAGTTTATATATTGAAATACATTAGACAAAGATGGACATAATTACACTAATTTATGATACTTCTGGGACACTGGGATGAAATAATGGGAGGAAATGAAGTACTAAGAAGTATTTTGAGTACCTTTAAATGATACCATAATAACTTGTCCACAACCCCTCCAAAGTCTTGTTCTCTAGCATCTGTAGTGATTTAAGTCCTTATAATAAGCTAAAACACTACACACAATATTTACAATGATTTTTTTTCTTGATATCAACATTTTTTTCCTCAATTTATACATTTCTCTTATAAAAATAAAAACTTAAATGTAAAAAACAAAAACACTGCAATAAATTAATAAGCTTAAGGCTGCCAGTTTCATCAGGTGCATAGTAAAACAGCGTACCGTCATTGAAACTAGCACAGAATGGAGAGCTCAACAGGAGTCAAAGGTCAAGTTTGTTTTCAAATGAGCAGCAGGAAGCCTGGTTTGGGTCTACCATGAGACCACAAGATAAACAACAGATTTTGGCATGCTCTTAGAGGGGTTGCCATCCATTTCCTTATTTAGATTTTGCAGAAAGGTAAAACATGCTCTTATTTGGTTACCCTTTTTTGAAATCGCGTGGATTGCTTTGATAAAATGGTAATGGCTGATGAAGCTGCCGGTTCATTGCACAGAGTTTTGTCTTTTTAGTTAACATTTGGCTTCTGCTTAAAGTCCATCTAGCTTTTAATTTAAAGCAATGAAAAAGAAGCAGGTGAATAATATAGAATAGGATGAAAATAACAGAAAAGTAAATTTGTTATTAACTATACATTAGCCATTTCACTCAAACACACAAGGAAAAGAAAACTTAACACATATAGTAAGTCGCTAGGGTCCATGACTGTCACAGTCACCTCTTAGTGAGTGGCTACGAGGTATACAACGTGCTTCTGAAGCGGCATTGTGCCACTAACCAAAGATACGTAGGTAGCTTATGAGTGCATAATGAAAAGGCAACAGCTGAATGAACAGATAAAGCACAAGATTTAAACAGCGTGAGATACTAACTGTGCAAGTACGAAAGAGCATGTATTGGGGATTTAGTAAACAATTTAGCAAGATTTATTTATTTAGTACTTTTGTATTGTTATTTATGTATTTAGGTTGAATAGCTTAATTTGTCGCTTCAAGTGATTTATTGAGGTAATAAATGAGGCGATGTGGACGTAATATGACAACTTGTAAAATCTTCACACTGGGTGTGGGCTAGGAATTTAAAGCGGACATCTAGTGAAGCACGTATAGCACAGAGCAGCCATTGCAAAAGGTTAGCTCTGGAAAGTCAGCACCATTGATTATCAATTAGTCCACAAGGTGCTTAGTGAAAGACAGAGACCACTAGCTTTTTTAGGCGTCTTGCTTTTCCTGTGGTTGTCACACAAAATGGCTTTATCAGATATAATACATATCAGGCTACGAGGGCAGGTCCATTTCATTACAATGTATCAAAAATGTCAAATTTTGGTAAAATACATACAGCTGTGGTTGCTAAGTTTTTACAGCAAAACAACAATGTTAAGAATCCAAGTCACCTACACTATCCTCTGCTTTAATACATTTTATACAGGAAAACATTCTGCCAACCACAGCTGCCATTATTTTACTGTAAAAAATTTAGCTTCTCATTGCACAATGTAGATAAGATAGACCACTTCCATTTTAGCCTCAAAAGCCCACATAAATACATATTAGGAACTACAGGTTTCAGTGCATCTAACACAGTCTGTCATGTGAGTCGCCTACTTAATTATCACATCAACCACAAGATAATAGAACTCAACAATTACACAAAATAATTCTTAAAAGATCAAATAAATAAAAATGAGGTCCAGCCTCTTGTTACAATTAGCCACATATTTCCCCCAAAAGACACATCTTATAAATGCATACAAGGCGGTTTGTGTGAAGCTTCATGACTAAAGACATACTCTGATGATGAAAAAGATGTGTTGGTGAAAAATTAACTAAGTTTAAAATAGTGGTCACATTACTATAAAAATCAACACTGTTAAACACACAAATCAAAAACACACTGTGCAATGCTCCATTGCAGGCCGTTTTAATAAAACCTCCAGTCTGACATTAGGGCTTTGAGCCAAGATGCTAACAGGCTAACAGGCTAATGAGTAGTGGATGACCTGATGTCGGTTATAGCATCTACATGTGAACTTCCCCTGCATGTTTTGAACACACTTTATCAAACAAGTGGAATTATTTCAATAGTCACAGTACACATGCCTACAGACATTAAACCTGAAAACGTTGTCAGTGTAACTGTGATTATTAATCCAACCACACCAACCAGTTTACCAGGAAAGTGTCTCTCTATGAAAACTCTATGTTCATCAAAGGATCTACAGTTATGTTATCTGCTAATTGAATCACATAACGAATGCTGTGTTGAGCAGGAAATTACCTTATGAAATAACACTGAAATAATTCCACTTTACTGTATTCAAATTCTGTGATGTGTAGTGTTTCTGGGAACACTTTTTCCGGCTGCAGTGAAGCAAGGCTCAGACAACCATTTTACCAACAAACGACTAATGGAAAAGCATCCAAGCTTCAAAACAGCTTTGGTAAACACCAGTGACAATGACAGCAATCAAGTATAGTCTCCAGATCCTCCTAAAAGTGAAAGTGAGTAAACATTATGGAACCTAAAATAGCCATCTCATCCTCTTCCTTCCTCTTGTCTGTTTCTACACACTATAAACACAGACACACAGACACACACACGCACACACGCACACACAGACACACACACAAACCAGCCCAAAGCTATCGTCAGTGCCACTTGTGCACTGACAGGCCCTTTGCATAGCTCCCCCTTGCCTCCCCAAACACACATGCGTGCACACACACAGGGTTGTAGGGGATGGTTATGTTTGTTAGGCAAAGGTGTGTTCGGTGGAAACGTTTGCATACACAGTCACTCCTTTTAAAATCCACTGGCTAAGCTAGCACCCGGCTATTGCATCTGTATACAGTGAGGAAGTCAGCTAAGTTCAGAGCTGTATGGTATATTACAGCTTATTATTATTATTGCTAACATTGATACAGTCACATATGCAAGCCCGAATATCCGGTTCTCCAATGCAAAGACGAAGACATCACAGTAATTTAATGGAGCGATGAATATATTAACTATTTCAATAAAACAGTCTTTCTATATCTTGTTTCTAATATAATTTGGCATACTATCTGCAGAACCAGCTGCAGGAGTCCAGGCTTCATCCCACGGCTGTGTATTGTACGTGTGCATGCAAATATCTTTACTGCATTTGTGAAAATAAGAAGTGCAAGAGCAGAGCAAATCCCCAGGACAATAATGTCAGCCCAATCAAATGTGTACATGTATGCATGAGGGACTAGTTTTTTTAGCAAAGACGGAGCTGAGGCTTGTGGGAAATTGATGCTGAAGGCCAAAATGGTCTGAAAAGGCATGTGAAGACTACAATAAGCCCAAATGAGTGGAGTGATGGGGACAATGGCACAAATTAGCGCAACATTGATCCACATTTTTGTATGATTTACCAAACATACTTGTTTTGGTCATCCATTTTTTGCATACAAAAAAAGAAAACAAATTAAATGAAATTTCCTAAACAGTGCTGCGACTATGGTGACAATATGGCTGCTGTCCCAGGGGACTTCCCAGTGAGGGTCTTGTTTTTTTGCAGTCCAGCTGACGGGGTAGGTCAGTAATCAGCAACTGGAGCTAGTTTCCTGCTCAGGCTAACTGTGATGTTGGTGTAGAGAGGCCTCCTGGACACCAGGGGGGAGTAGTTTAGGTTGTTGAGGCCATCCACTTTCTGACGCTCCTTTGAATGGCGCAAAAGACTATACCTGTAGGAAAGTAAGAGATATTACATATCCAATAGAGAGTATAATAAGGATAAGTTAAAATTAAATAGTACAACATTAATTTACAATAATTTAGGAGTAAGGGTGTGTTACTGTAACACTGTTACAGGACAAACACACGAGTGGTTCGAGAGAAGTGAGGTGAGTAACAGTTGTGAATTAATAAACAAAACTATGAACCTGGACAGACTGGTTTTCACACCACGCATGTGGAGACTACATATCTATCTGACTGTGTGTGATTTTACATGTAGATTGCACAACCACAGTGGACATATACAGTTGGATACATACTTTAACTGAGGAAAAAATACAAACATTTGATTTAATTATTTAAATGACTGTAGATCAGTTGCAGTATACACTTACCAACACTTTATAATTACATTTTCAAATTTTACTTTTTTTTTACTAATCTTACTTTTAAGTTTTTATCTTTTTACCAAATCAGACTTCCGTGTCTGTTATATTGAATTCCCAAATTGAGTAAAAGTGCAAAAGCATGACTGGAATCCAGCCCTGACACATGATCACATGATCACATGCAAAGTCTTTAAAAGCTTCAAAACTTTAAAAGTCACTGCCCTGGGCCTTTCATGTGACTGGCTTACATCACATGAGCCTAAGCCCCTAGTGCAATTATCAGCTGCCACTTTTCACCATAGACCAGTTTATTTCCGACTGGCAGACAGACTCACCTCCCCAAGAACTGGACCTCTCCACGATGGTGGTGTGGGATAGACTTGTAGCGTCCCTGGTTTCCTCGTGGGCGGCTCACTGTGTAATTGCCGTAATGCACCCTGTACAGACAAAGTTACTCCTTGTCAGTCCATATAGCGCACAGCAGGCTTTGAATGGCAACATTCTAATAAACACAGTTATCTCAAAGATGTGAATAGAGTTTAATTTAAATGTTCTCCCCTGAGATAATCTACAGTGAAAACTGACAAACACAATACTAGATAATCAATATAGTTAAATGCAAACACATCTTAATAAAGTACAGCTGCCTTTGAGCTGATAGCTAGACAACAATGTAGTGTACTAAAGACAAACAGAGAGAAAAAAAAGCATTATCTGCCAAGAGGCCAAACCCATTGGTTTGCAAACTGTTGTCCAGGCAACGTTGGTTGTGTTGAGTTAGTTCCTAGGTTAACTAGGTTAGACAAAAAAAGAAATATTTGCTTTCTTTATAGTAGCGAGCACTCTTACGCTTGTAAAAAAAAGCCTTAACCTGCATATAGAATATAAGTTTTATAAGTTTTTCTCATTCTCAATATATGGACAGGTCATGCCTTACATGAAAGCTCAGAACCTGCAGAATTTACTCCCTCAACTTTTTTAAACCAACTGAATGCCAGTTGGTTTAGCAAATTGGAAACCCAAATGAGAGAATCATGTGAGGCTCATTTTGCTCAATTGAATTTGAACATCTTATATCTAGGAATACAGTATTAAATATGAAATTAATAAAAAATCCAAATCTTATATTCAGTTCTTTTAATTGGCTACACTAACAAATGAATAGCTAAGATTAAAATAGATAGTCAAGAAAAAATATGACAAGATGGCTTATGGGATAACTGGACAAATTTGCTAACTGTCTCCCCCAGTCTCCAGCCCATTCTCTGCTGCACTGTGAATAAATAAAGCCTAGATCCTAATGAAAGATAATGAATAGATTTGTGTGTGATGGTGAGGTTTTTGACCCTAGAAAGACAAATATTTTCTGTTGTTGTATCTGGAGTCAATGGTTTGATGTGCAGGTCTCACTAAAGTCAGTGACACCAATACAGTCACATGGTGGGTTTGGGTCAATGCCTCTTTATGTCAGCACTTGCTCACCTGTTCCAGAGGTCATCGTCCTCTCCTCCCCAGCCCCAGAACGCATTAGGAAATCCATTAATCTTTTTGAACTGCTTTACCGTGAGGCCACTGACACCGCCGAAGAATTCATTATATGGAAGCCTTGGAGGGACAATAGCATTAAACACTACAGATTAAGGAAATATATACTTATAAATCTGAATGCAGACAGGAGGAAAATACTTACATGTAGGAGTACTTATCCAGTTGTACTGCAAAGTGGCGGGGCATGTCAGTGCAGCCATAGTAGTTTCTGTCATTCTCCATGAGGTGGTCTACATCATGAAAAATCAGACAGTCCCAGTCGAAGTCCTTCATGGCCTCTTTATAGCCGACGTTAAATAGCATAGCTCTGTTGAATGGCTCTGTACCCCCCTGGAGAAAAAATATATCAACATTGAAGTTAATATTTTGTATGTATAATTTCTGCATGATTTTTTTTATTTACCACTTCTCTGAATATGTGCAAATTTTGTGTTCACATAATATAAACTTTTGAAACCGATTATATTGGAAAACTATCTTGTGTATACCAGTGAAGGTTACACTATTTTCTGATCTATGTTATAATGTTGTTACCTCATCAAAAAACTGTTCTTCTCTTAAAATGAAAACACTCTGTTCCACCTTGTGATGTCATGTGGTAATACACGGAGTGCTCCAGTGTGTTTTTTAAACTCCATACACCTTCTCTAGAATCATTTGGATGATTTCAACCTTGCAATTATCAGTCTCTATTCAACAAAAGGTAAAAGGTAACTTTTAACTTGAAAATGACCTCTTCATGACATCACAAGGCTTTCTAGGCTTTGGAAATGTAGACTAAAAAAAAAAAGATTACTCAAATATGTGTGAATAAAACAAAACACGACTCCAGGGATGTTTTTGAGAAGCAGCATTCTAACGTGGCTTACAGCTCATAAGAATTCAGTACATGTAATACTGGACCTTTAAAGAACAATGAAAAGAGTTTTACTTTATTTCAACAGTGGTTCCACATTTGTTTAGTGAAGACATTTCAGAGTTGCAGAATATTCAAAGTACAGAATTGCTATATACTATTGTTTTGCTTCTGTGCATAAATACACATCATGATTTGTGCATGTGTATCATTTGAACAGTGTTCTGTGCTAGTAGAGAGTATGTACCTGCTCTATTACATAAAAGGCAAATTGGAGTCTTTGTTTTTGCAGCACGGGCACCAGGTGTCTCAGGAGGATGGGTAAGTGTTCATGACGATTTCTAAATGGAACTAGAATTGCCACCTTAAAAAAACAACAGCAAGAAAAGACAGATAAAAGATAAGCATATAGTAACAGTATAGTAAGATGAAAACAGTGGTAACGCTGTAAATCAATTATGAAAAGAAGGTTACAGAGCAGAAAAGCTAAAGAACATGTGGCTGCTGAAGAAAGGTAATAATTGCCACTGCTCTAGGGCACTGTGTATATAAAAAACACACTGACATATGGTATGCATTCAGTATAAAATTGGAGCATAGAATGAATTTTAAAAAGCTCACGTTTAAACAGGTTTGAGCATCCTTGGCATTTGCAGAATTAATGTGCTGGGTAAACACATTTTTCTTATTCAGTAGTCATAAATAAAAATAATAATTATAATCATGTCCTTATATTGTATAACTTAAATTTGAAGTTGTTGATGAGAACTGCTATTATTGTAAATTTCATTAAATTCATTCATGTGGTCAGAGGGAATATTAATCTACATCAGGGGTGTCAAACTCAAATTCACAAAGGGAAGAAATTAAAAACTGGGACTAAGTCGTGGGCCAAACTAAATATTTATTGAAAAATTTCAACAACATCTGCATGTTTTCTCTTCTTTTAAGATGTGTACTGTTAAACCTTTTCTTATTAAAATAAATGTTTAATAATAGTTTTGCTTAAACATTGAATCCAGAACAAGCATAATATAAAATAATAACAACATTTTAAATAAATAATGTCTCTATAGCCTATCTGTATCCGGCGGGCCAGCTCTAAAACATATTTGATATGATCTTGTGGGTCAAATATAATTGTATCGCGGGCCAAATTTGGCTCCCGGGCCTATGTTTGACATGTCTAATCTACAGTATCTAAATTCTAGTATTCAGTTATTCGTCAAGATTCAGGCTTTTGGGCAAACAAAAGTTGTAGTGAACAAATACATGCAAGTGAAAAGTCAGTCTTCTAATTTATAATATATACCTGAGATATATTTGTATTACTATACTACTTTCAACTTGTAAATATACATTTAAATAATTATGACTATTTTCTTGCTATTTTTGCTACTTATTTTGAATGTATTTCAAATTTAATATTAACATTTGTATTTCTGCTCTTTGTTATTATAATATATTGTGATGTGTGAGCTACTGTGTCTAAATAATTACTCAAAATTATCTAGATTGTGTTTATTATTAGTATCTACAATGTATCTTCATGACTTTCTTACTTTCCATCGAGGTAAACAGTCTTGGGGTTTCCAGTAACCACCCATAGTTATTCCAGGCTGCACCTCCAACAGTGACCGCTCCACCTCCTCCAAAGACACCTCGCTCATGTTCACTTCAATTCTACCCACTGAGAGATCAAAAACAAATGGCAGAAATTACAATCTGACCCACTGACTGTGCATAGTAAAAGAACTGAGCCACAACTAATTGCCCTGGCACATAAATTGCCAATCCATTAGTTGCAATAACCCCATTTTGCATGCATTGTATGTGTAATAATGTGTTTGGTCCATTAAAAAGATGTGTCATTAGAAGGAGCAGCACAATAAATCCCATAAAGCAATCTTGTTAGGGTGGTTTGAATGCCTAAGAGATATTGCAACATTAGCCACAAGTGTGATGTTGAAAGCTGAACGGTAACACTGTACTTACTCATAGAGGGCAGTCTTTCAGGGCAGGGCTGTGATGCGAGGTAAGTGAAGCCCTCTGGAAGGTATGTGGTGGGTGGAGCATCACTGTCGCTCATGTTAAAGTCATAGGAGTAGTCTTGAATGTGGAATCAAAAGAAATGTGTTAGTCATACTGAATTTACAAAACATGTGATTATGTACTAGGGATTGGACAGGACAGGAAGATAAAATTGTCACAAGATTGCGCACACATGACACAAATGATCTTGTTAGATTTAAAAAAAAAAAATTTTTTTCCATTTAGTTTACATCTAGATTGGACAAAAAAAAAATGTTAAAAGCTGGTAAGTTACATCTCTTGAGGAGCTGTGGCCTACACAACAAAAATATTAAGCTAAAAAATATTTAGCCAAAACTGCAAACAGGATTGCACAATTATTTTATTACAAATTATTTCAAATCTCTCCTTGTCTCATTCTTATGAACCTAATCTTGTGTCTCGTCTTCTGTAAATTCTGTCTCGTCCCAACCCTAATGATTATGGATGGGATTATATCATACCTGTGCCATTGCTGTAGGCGCCCCTCACCACCTGCTCCAAGACCTGAGCTCCGATGTTCTTCACGTTCTCCCTGATCTGGATCCCTCTGGCTTGGACCATGAACACATACTCATTCACTGTGGACACAAGAGACAACAGGGAGCGATGTTGAGATAAAGCAGATGTAAATTACAAACACCAATAATAATAATGTGATTCATATAACATCTTATCGATCTTATCTCATCTTACCACTATAAACAAGCAAATGGTTAACCTAATTAGCTGGGATAACAACAACAACCAACAACAAGTCCTAATCTAAATACATTTGGGCACAACAGTTTCTGACTATGCATAAATTTAAACAATTATGTCTACAAAAACAACTTAATCTGAATGCTTTACAACTGTAACTGTGCCATTTTCTCCGTCCTAATTCGTGGTTTTTATAGAAAATGAATAATCCATATGGTGGGATGAGATAAATGGTTGAGTGCTCACGGCGGTTAAAGCCTGTCCACCTGATCTGCCCTGGTATTTAATGAGGGCTTCCCTTCCTCACACCAGGTACAGACATCAGCTCTGTGACAGGAATGTTAATATGTGATGGGCGAAAGAGGAAGTCTGCAGGAGGGGAACTGTTGTCGAATTAAAAAATAACCGAAAATAAGTTCAGCAACGGTCAAATGTGTTAGTCGGAAATGGTTTAGAGTAAGATTTTCTCTGTAAATGAATGGTGAAGGAAATTGTTGTTAGGTTAACTGAAAGTCAGCAAAGTGACGAACTTGTCAATGTCCAGACTGTACCCCATCTAAAGCTCATAATTGGTGGGGAAGGTTTAGCCAAGTGTCATAAGTATGATTAAAGTATGTGAACAAAATCTGTGTTTTAAATATGTTTCTTGAATGGCCATTTGAAGAGAAAGTATCAATATCTATAAGAAGTTGTAACCTGCAAATGAAAGTTAAGATCTCAGCTTTAGCTTTACTTTCCACATCTAACTTTTGTTGCTTGTTTGCACAGACCAACCACAAACCATGGCATCAAACCATGTCATACAGAGATGAGATCATGTCATTGTTGGTGCACGTTTTTATTTGTAATCCATTTGCAAGAGAGTAATTACAAGAAACTTTGCCAAATTGTCTTTGCATGCATGCATGTCTCTGGTTCCATCCTATGAAGTGCATGGCTTGACCCAGATTCAACCACAACAAACCTGTCTGTAGAGGGTTTTCAAAGTACTGGAACAAAGGGGAGGGATGTGGTCCAACCGTGAGTCACCCTGATACTCCAGACACCTCTGTCTCTCTACCACGTGTCTCTTCACAGAAAAGGTGCGCCACTACGTCAGAAAAATGAGCCAATTCAGAGTAAAAGTAATTGGAGACTCAGGTGTAGCTCACATGACGCTGCCTCTCTGCCATTGGTAGAAACTATGGACTGACTTCTCATTTGACTCAATCTGACATGGGAGGTAGAAAAAGAAGCTAAAATTTGTATCAAAGCAAACATAATGTTACTTTTAAATAATATTGCTCAGAAGTAAAAAAGTAGTACTCAAAAAATTACTCAAACTAAAATGTATTTGGAGAAATAATTACTTGTATTTAACATCTGATTCATGTAGTAATGTAACACAAGCCAGGTATTTCCAAAAAAAACAGACCTCTAAATATAAAAACAAAACAACTCTGATGCGTAGGTGTATGGAAGCGCAACAGTTACAGCCAACTTGCATTGTGGAGTGCTACTTGATTTATAGCAGCATACTGATCTGATCCAATCAAGGCACACAGAAAGATAAAACCCCACACCAAGAGCACCACAACCGAAGTTATTCAGCTAACACATAAAAAAACATTATAATGTGTGCCAATGACAGGCCACAAAAATGTCAAAAGTCGTATTTCATGGAGAGCATCTGTATAAAACCAATACATGAATCAAAGCCTGTGACTCGGATTGTTTGCTGTGGAGTGAGACCAGAAAATTACCATTGTATTTGCAAACCCAAATGTCAACAGTCTGATGAATCCATCTTTTGTTGTGTAACATCACACACCATTATCTGCTAATTTATTTATTCAGCAGCATCTTTAGCTGCAAATCACGCCTGCGCTCATGGACCTATATGCCTTGCAAACAAAGCTAAGCTAGCAGTGCACTGGATGCCATTAGCAAATGCATTACTTTCCCATCACATTTGTCTTGTTTTAACGCAAAGTGCCTCGCTTGCAGGGCAACTCCTACAGGCTATATGTGCTAACTGAAATCAATGTTCTCATTTTATCTCAAATATTACATACTGTAACTTGGAGCAGGGCTGCATAGGATATTAAAGAAAAAAGATAGGCCAAGCAGAGGTTCAAGTCTATGGTATCACCTCAAAAAATAATTGTCTCTCAAAGTAGTGTGTCAAAGAACTAAAGTATACAAAAGCAGAACAAAATAAAATGAAACAAAATCTGAATTGAATAAGATCAAAACCAGCATTGTCTTAAAAACAAACTGATTTAATCTTCCTGGTTCTGCCTAAATCAAATTCTCTTTTAAAAGGCTATTTTCTGATCTATGTATAATGTTTCCTCATCAAAAACAGACCTGGAGTTGTGTTTTGTTTTATTCACACACGTTAAACACACAAACCCTGCATATTTAGGCTGAGTTCTATTCTCAAACAGAAAATACTCTGTTCCACATTGTGATGTTGTGTTACTACAGGAAGTGCTCCACTGTGTTCCATACAACTTCACTAGAACCATTTGTATGATTTCAGCTCTGAATTGCTCATCTCTACATAACAAAAAGTAAAGTAGCTGTTAACTTGAAATCTACCACTTCATGACTTAATGCTCATGAGGTGAAACAGAGCATTTTGAGCTTTGGAGATGTAGACAGGCTAATACTAAAGGAACATGTATGAATGAAACAGCTAAATTTAACAAGGTATATTTTTGAGGAGGTAACAGCATTCTAACATGGCATAAGCTCACAAGAATCAGTTTTGTGTAATTTTGTTTTGTTTGTTTTTTTACTCTTTGCTATTGTAATATAATTTGATATGTTACCTACTGTGTCCAAGTAACTTCCCTTGTTGATCAATACAGTGTGTGTAAGTCTAATATGGGACCTTTAAGCCAGCAGTTTGAACTAAATCTGGGATACTTGAACACTGCCTCACACTACTGACACTTGTCTTATATTCTTCAAGAACAACAAAACAATTACTAATATATAACAGATTGAGTCCACTATCATAAGTAGAGCAGGAGCCACGTGGGTAGACACATGGCATGGCTTGCTGATGTCCTCTGAGGCGCCATATGATGGGAAAACGCTAAGAGGCTGTGGGTGAGGCCAGTCCTGCAGGCTCTCACACATTTAACACAGAGCTGTCCCGTCTGAATGCCCGTCGGACATATGGAAATGCATTATTGAAGCAGGCACGCAGCACATACGTACATAAGTACAGTAAAAGCTCTCCAAAAAGAAAGTCATGTGACGCTCTTGGCTGAGGTTCAAAAATCACACATATCATACAATGTCTAGTGATGCACCGATCCAACTTTTTTAGTTCTGATACCGATTAAGATACTATAGCATTAAATATCTGCCAATACTCGATACTGACAGCATTGAAAACATCATTTATTTCCTTTAAACAAAAATAGAAAGAGAAAAAATTGATCCAGATGTGTTATGTAACTGTTTTTACCCCTCCAATAACCACAGAAATACGATAAATACAAATTCAAACATTATGAGACTTTCTGGGCAGAATGTAAGCCCAGTCAATAGTCTTATTACATCAATTTATATGTCCAACCTGGATATTTGCTGAACTGATATTTGGAAGCCAGCAAATTTTTCAATAAAGGCGCCGATATTTGATACCGATATCCCTAACAATGTAGGCATAAGTGCAGACATACTACTTTAACCCTTATTATTATAGTGCCTAAATCTTCATTCATCAAGACATTTAATGGGCTCCTTCCACCTCCCATCTCAGCTACAAAACTATAAAGCATGACAGATACAATACAGCACTTATCCACTGTAGCACAACCAAGAAACCCACAGCAATTTAATGTAAATCCATTATCATAATGACAACCAGCTCTGAATACATACGCACAACATCTTTACTGTGGGCCAATGCATTACTACTCCATATATATCCCACCACCCCCACTGTAACCATCACGACTGACAGAGGACCTTGAGCGACCTTGTCCTCCTCAATAGGACAGGCTGTGCTCGTGCCAAGTCCAGCCCACCTCCTCTGTCCACCCCCCCCCATCCCCACCCCTACCCCTCTCTCTCTCTCTCTCTCTCTCTCTCTCTCTCTCTCTCTCTCTCTCTCTCTCTCTCTCTCTCTCTCTCTCTCTCTCTCTCTCTCTCTCTCCCTACATACTTCTGCCTCTTCCAGTTTATCTATTCTCCTCCTATCTCCCCTCTTCATCTCATTGTGTCGCTGTCGAGGTAATGTGGTTTGTATCATTTTGTGTCAAGTCCGTTTGGGGCTAACTAAATAAAGTGCATGATGGATAGCAGGCTTACGCACAAGCAGACACAGTAGATATGCACTATAAGATTTGTATTGTATTGTTATTGTAGCGGAGCCAGTATAGCAAAATACCAAAGCCTGTATGGCTCAGTCAAACATGTCACGGATAGACTTATAAATACTGAGTGGTTTTGACATAGTTTATTTTCACTTATCAACACATATGGGAGTATAGGAATGTATAGGGCCAGAACATCAGGGACTGCAGAATTCAGAATAAGTGTTACATTCCTCTACATTCCATACAAATAATAGTTACCTCAAAGTAGTCCACAAGAAATACTCCAGTCTATAGTGTAACATATATTATCATTATATACGGAACTTAAAAACATAAGAATTATACTGTGCATTTAAATACGCCATTCATTTACATGTGACCAGAACCAAAATATTGTTCAATAGTTATCAAACTGAATAATGTTTTGATTGATTTGAAATTGATTCATTGTTTCTCAAACTGTGGTACATATTCTCATCTCTGGTATAGTCTGGGTTAACATCTGGTGGTACTTGAAAAGGTAATTTTATATTAAAGCTTGAGAAACTGCCTATACTAAA